GGTAGGGGAACAAAGCAAATATCTAGCTATTCTCTTCACAAATAAAATGTATCATACTTTGAAAGTAGAAATTTTAGACACAGCTTGAGTAGCTTTTTATTGTTACATCTTCTGCAGAACTGCCATTCTTAGGAGCCAAAGCTACATTTCTTTGGAAACCTGAGACAGTTGAGAATTGTATGTTTGACATATATGACTTTGGACATTGATCTAGATGGTTAGTAATATTATCTCTTCATGGAGAAATCAGCCTTGAGAATTTGTACCACAATAATCTGCTGCTTTGAGTAAGATAATTTCAAAGAAAGGGATACCAGCTCATTTTTGTTTTCTGTCTTTGAGGTTGGGGCACAGCAAGAAGATTTGTATTATGAAAGTGTGAGCTCAGAATCACAGTGTCCATACAGACTGTTCAAGCGATGGTAAATGACACTGATGGAGGCTCACACACAAGTGGTGGGATTACTCACTCATGGATAAAAATTCTGTGTTTGGGCAGTCTCTGGGCGTGACAGAAGGCAGATCTGTTCCAAATGGCTTTTTGATTTGGGCTATCTACTGAGAAGATAGTTACTGTGCTTGAATGATAGGTGGGCAAAGATCTGTCTGAACTTGGTTGGGTTTGTGTTTTGGTTTTTAATTATTAGCTCGATGCTCAGGCATTTCTTGCACATGTTAACTATTTTTCACAGATAGAACATTGCAAATGTCCCACAACTCCAAGCCCGATGCAGCATGAGCAACTTCCTCCACACTGGATAAAACAATCAATTTCTAGGAAGTCAGGATGGGCCTTGTATGTTGTTCCTGTCCTCCAGTGTGGGGGAATGATTCCTCATGCTTCTGGGCAGCAGTGTAAGGCTCTGGCGCATGCTCTTATGCTACACGTACTACTGCTGTGCTACTTGGTGGGTGTTAAACCTTCTTTACGCAGAAATTGTTGTTCTGAGACTTGAAAATAGCCTGTTTTGTAATTACAGTGCATGTTGTAGGTCACCGAAATGCTGAGTGTTCAGTTAATGCAGTGTACTCTTCAAAAAAAATGCTCTAGGCCTTTTACATGAGGAAAAAAAAAAGCCCGAAAAACAAAAGCCTAATAAAATACCCAGAGAGAGTGAACAAAAAAATATGTTCTCTAATTTAAAGTGATCCCGAGTCTTCTCGAGTTCATGAACCAGCACCGCTGTTTGATGTCAGCAGAACTGAGCGGAAGCGTGTGGTTTGTGAGCTCGCTGCTGCCACAGAGTCACAACTTGCTGGCTTCGGATGGGCTGTGCAGGGCAGACCACAGTGCAAACCTGACGACTGTTTGGCAGCAGGATTAAGCCCCTGCCTCAAGTTGAAACGTCAGCTGCTTCACCCCATGCTATGCCGTACGTTCTGCAGCATTTCGTATCTCAGATGGTGACAGACCACGATTAACGTAGAAGTAGACAAGGAAATGTCCTGTTTCCACTTGGCCAGAGAGCCATTTCGTTGTAGGAGGGAGGAAGAGAAAAAGCAAGCTACATTCTTGGATAGAGAAGCAAGCTGCTGCTGGAAAATAAAAAAAAATAACATTATTGCCTCATGATCCTTTAGCATGTGACCAGTTACGGCAATTGCTGATTGTCTACATACCAGGAAAAAAATGCCCTGCAGTATAAAGAGTTCCCAGTCTGTACTTCAGGTCATTGCAAAGGTCTAAAGGCAATTATTAGGGAAGTCAACTGCTAATCCAACTTTTAAATATAATTTGCTGAGCAAGAGAAAAATCAGGGAGTACAAGAGAAGGTTTCCAAAGGTTTTATAATCTGTACTGAGCTTTATTTTTTTTCTATCATCTGTGTGATTTTTTTTTGAAAACGAGCTTTTAAAATATAATGAAGCAGATAGAAAGGAAGCAATTTAAAGAGGTCACAGAAGACTTGCATTGCCCACTTAACACTTTATCTGTTAAGAGGATGCTACAGAGTGTATTCTGTATCTTAGAGTAGGGTTACTTCTGGCTGTAGAGAATATGCAGCTGGAACAGATCCAGAAATTTGGGGGGATCAGTTATGGTGTCTCAGGGACTACACATGTAGGGATTGCTTGGATAAGTGGGGCATTTTTCCTAACTGTTCCAGCATGATAGGCTTTCTTTGCTCTGGTCTGTACCTTTCAAGCAGACAGAAAGAATTCAGGTACACAAGTGTCTCTAACGTGATTGCATTTATTGCAAAGAGAACAATATATGAGCAATATACAGTGGCAATGCAGAGATTTCTGCTGTGATGACAGTAAAAATTCTCATCTCGCGGAAGAATATATATATATAAAACTTGGTAATAATATAATAAACAATACTTTTATTCCATGTATTATATGTAAAATATACATTATTTTATACATATGTGTGTGTGTATTTTATATATAAAACATACTTCTATTTAGCCATCCACCTGCACACAAAATAGTGAGCTTATTACAAACTTTTTTTCTTTTTTCTTTCTTTTAAATTAGTTGTTATTTCTATTTATTGCTGGTTCTTTTCATTGTGAAAAATCTGTCTATTGAGAAATAGGGAAGATTTAAGTAGACTTACGTGAATATTCCTCTATCCTAGCTGAAGAGTTACTGCTAAGTCTGTGGACACCTATGCAGGTCTAAAACAAATTGTTTCTTACGGAGAGTGTTTTTAGTGAACTACTTAGAGATAAGAAATGGGGAGGTTCTCCTGGAAGTGTATATATGTCCCGTTTTTGCTTTGTGGAAATGCCAAATAGCCTTTAGTTTACGCATTGCCTGTTTAAAGATATGATGAAATAATGAGTACTTTACCAAGAAAGCTCTTGGTGGTTATGAAAGTACTCGAGGTATGGAGTGCATAGGCATAGCAAAACCATGGTACACGTAATTTGGGTATCAGTAAAACCTGCCTGCCTTAAAAAGATCACATACCTGTACAGGAAAATAAAAATAAAACCATAAACCTCAAAGTTTCTGCAAATGATTTGCTACTAACGTCAGTATTTTTTTTAGAGAATGAGATGATTTAGATCAAGCAAACATTCTTCTGACATTAGTGACGTAACGGTCTCGTGTTCAGAGAGATTTCCTGTTTACTTTGGGTCTGAACACAGATGTCTCAAGAAAGTAGGTGCTAAAATTCTCGTTACACATCTGCATATAAAGACAGCCCAAACTGTTCTGAGATATGTAGTAAATTTTATATACATTTTTGTTCTCTAGAAAAATAGGGTTAAAAGTTTCATAAGATCAGAGATGTCTCAGTTTGCTGACCCAGCTAATTCCTCAGTTTTAATCATATAAAGCAGAAATTACCAGGTGATGTCAGTTTGGCAGCCTTGTGAGCTACTGTCATGCTCTTAACTCGGACCTTTGTTAGCAGATTCATCTGGAGTCAAGGGACTCAGTGTCCCTTAGGGGGATGTACTGCTGCTCTCTGAAAACTGGAGAGCTTTCAGATGGCAGTAAGGCTTCTTTGTGGTGAAGTTCAAGACTTAGTTATATGCTGTAACTTTTCGTGCATTTTCTGTTTCAAATCATAACTTCTGTGAATGTTCACCGTAGAAACAACGCATCTTTTTCATAATTTATGTGTATGATTCATAGTTCTAAGTTACAAGCTTGGTTTTAAATGTATACTTTTTTCCTAAAAAGCAGAGATCATCTTGCTGTTGCTTTATTTTCCTAATTATAAAATAACAGGGATTATATTTAAAAACTTGCTGCAACTCTTCTTATGCCTTTGAAAATATGAATACATCAGTCATACATTTAACTATCTGCTCTCTGAAGAATGAAGGAGTCAGTTATAAAACAGACCATGGTCAAGATCTTGTAGGGACTAAGATCAAAAATAAGTAGTTTTGAGTATTTTGTTTTGCTTTTTAACTCTGCATGGTTGCATTTTGACGGACAGTGTCATAGATGTGGAAATTTGCTTCATAATATGACTGCTGAGCATTCTAGAGACTGAAGTTCTGAGGTTACTACTGAACTCGGGTCAGCTCAGCTTTGCTGCCAAGGCAGAAGGCCTTGTCTTACTCCCAGGTGATAAAGATCTAATTGTAAAAAACACAGGCTACAATAAAGCGGATTTTGGTTTGTTTTGATGGTCTGCAGAAAATGAGATTCTTCGTTGTTTTTGTTAGCTGACTTCATTAGATTTTGTATCATGTGAGTATAAAAAGTGTACTTCTAAATGTACAACTGTGATACTAGTGTAAGAAAAAATCCCAACATCAATACATGCTTTGGCATGAAATTATTGTGTGTTTAATGATTCTGCAACCATTACCTTAATCTGCTAGGCAAGAACTTGCTGCATGTGGAGCTGTTAGGGAATTTACATTGGCACTAGAAACCAAAACTGGATCTTGGAGAGCACATTTATGACAGCGGCAAACACACAGGCAAGATAATATACAGCATATCGTAAGAAAAACATATTTTGCACTTAGAAAAATTGAGGAGGGAGGAGCAGTTTGCTGCCGGCTGCAGTGAGAATGAATTCGTGTCAGTGGGAAGCACTCACCAGAGAGAGATGTCCTGCAAGAGCCAGGCTGGGTCCAGCAGAGCCAGTGCTCTGAATTAATGTAGAGCAGGACTACTAGTCTTTTGTTCACAGCTTTTAACTCAGTAACTGTATGCAGGCGTTCCTGGTGCTCTTGGTTCTGTGCTGACAATGCAGGGACACCAAGCAGCCTTTATGTGAAGCCAGATAGGGTTCATGGGGCTCAACAGCTTTCAGGTGTAAGTTGTCCCTGGATGCAGTGGAGGTCCAGGGACTATGGAGCCCAGGGCTATGCCTAAGCTAAGAGGGCTGATCCAAGCTGACTATTTCTGTGGAGTAAGTTATTTACAATTTTGATAACAGACCTTTGAAGTGTTTTAGTGGTAATGATAGAAAAAAAGAGGAGAGAAATACAATGCAACACGCATGTTTTAAAAAAGTCCTTATCAGTAGTTTACCTTGTCATGGATTTGATGCCACTTAAATTATTTTTTTCCAGGCAAAAATTGCTTCTCAGAAATGCAGATGTTCCTGTTATCATGAATACCTACTTTAGTCAGAAGGTGCTACTCAGTGAACATTCAGAAGCAAGAGAGAAGACATGTGGTCTTACAAAGATGCTTATCAGGAAGAATGTTATATCTTTGGCACAGACCTTCAGACTGGATGACCTTGATGATGAGTTACACCAGGAATCTTCAGATAATCGGGTAAAGTCCATTTGGTTTGCAATTTTAGCACTTGTTAAGAAGTTGGTCAGCAGATGTTTGGAAATGGTCAGAAAAACAAAAATTCTAAATTACTGTGATCTTTTCAGTTTCCCCTTTCATTTAGCCAAGGCTGAATAATATGCAGTGTTTATTTTAATAATATTTTCTTAGTAGAGGCTTTTGGTCCATCCAAATGCTGAACTGCTGTGAAGTTATTTTGCTGAAGGCTCACTACTGTTCTAAATAGTAATTGTAGCTTGGTTTTTCATTGATTTTTCTCTTCCTCGTTATAGCTGAATAACTAAAAAATAAGATCTGTTTTCTTCTAACTCACTCAAGATAGTATTTTAAACAAACATTCCATTTTTCCACTCATATTTCTTAACTCATTTCCTAATTGATCCTATCCTTTCTTTATAGAATCAATTGATAACATCATCACCCTTTCCCACCCCTTCATTTCTTTTCTTTCCTATTTTGACTTTCTTTGTATTAAGATGACTACTGACTCTGCATTTCCCTGTGGTTGTGGTTGTACAAGCTGAGGTATTTTAAGGGATTTGTTTTTTTAATAGCCTGTGCCAGGACTTTCTGAAAGTAAGGCTCTTGTAAAGGCTTTATATTGGCTACCCAAACAATTCTTAATATTTGAGAAGTTTGGCCCTACAAGTTTGAAGAACAACAAATGTCAACATTTTATATTTGCCTTATATATAATTCCCATTATAGGCCTGGGAGTTAAAAAATTACATAAATCCTAATCTCCTTTCTTGCTTCAACTCTAACTTGTAAAAAGCTTCAACTATGGTATTTGAAAACCAGAACAATTGACTTGTTCCTCTCATGGCTCCTAACAAACAAAACCACTTCATTTAAAACTCAGTAGACAAGTTTTATTGCAACCTCTTTGTAGATAAGGGGTAGTGTTGTACCACAATTTACTTCTAAATATTGCAAATTCTCCTTCTTTACTGGTCTATAATACTTATGGCACAGTCTGTGATACTCTGAAAATCTTTCTTCGCACCCAGCTGTTCATAAAAACAGAGTTCATTGTGAAAATAGAAATTTGGCTCATGCTGTGAAGGAACCTATAAATATTGACCATGTTAGTCTATACTTGCGTACAATTTTTACCAAGAGAGATTTATTTTAAAAATAAAATCAATGAAATTTCTCATTTACATTAAGGGAAAATGGAGCATTCATAAAATTTATTTTGAAAGTTTGGAAGATTTTATTAATAAAATATGTTTTGGAAGTAGTGAACCAATAAATTAAGGTTTGTACTTTGAAGATTTTTACTTTTCATTAATCATCTAATTCTTTTACACTGAAATATTTTCCATTGAAATGTGTAAGTCTGATGACTAACTTACTAGTCTATAGAACTAGACATCTGTTCATTTACAACTTTATCTGAAAGTCCGGAAGCATTCAAGATGGATTTTACTCTTCATTTTAAAAGAGAAAGGAACAGAACATCAAAGAACTAAAAGTGAAACTCAATTCAAGGGGAAGAATCATAAGGACTAATATCAGTTCTGTTTTCCTGCTGGTGTCACTCTTATCTCTCATGTACTGAGTTAGCTCTAGAGCACCAGTTAAATACAGGAGTGTATTGTGTATGCAACTCTCTTGGGTGTTCATTAAAAATCCACAATAAATACTGGCCACTAGTCTTTAAGTTACTTTAGGAGCATTAAGTATTTTGAAACTGATGTTGCACTTGCAACTTGATTTTTCATGCTGAAGTTTCCCTCTCTAGCTCTACACAGTTTCAAGGTTCCCCGGAATGTTTCTGTTAATGGGTTTTCCTTCACCAGGTTGCTCATGCTCCACAAATCCATAACAACTGTGATTTGAAACGGCATCCGTTAGCACTGAGTGCTCTTAATGATTCTCTGCTTGAAATGGTGGAAAGCCAGGGAGCAGTGGCATGGAGAGAAGCACAGGTACGAGTTGTTATCCAAAGGGTGTACTGTTTGCCTGCAAGACAAGGTTGCAGAAGCCACATTCAAGGAAACAAGCCTCTTTGTGCAACACCCATCATGAATACAGATCCACCAAATGTTAGGTGAGTAAAAAGATGCATGGGAATTTTCCTGTTGAGGCTGTGATATATGAGAAACCAAAGAGGAGGGTGTTTGGAAACGTCACCTGTCAGCTCGTAGGGAATAAGCACACTCAGCAAGGCGTGAGGCTGTTGATGGAAGCGGTGCAGTTTTGTAGTAGGTGTACTGTGACAGTAGTTCTACCCAGAGAAGAGAAGGATCTGTCTATATGTAGAGGGCGTATCTAAGGTATGAGGGAATGTACCAGGGCAAGAGTGCCCGAAGGAGCATGCGCCGATATAGACAACCTTGTTGGTCAAGGAAGTCACATGGTTTTAAGGGATAAAAGCAGCACTGAATTTAAAATAAATCTCTTTGTTTTACCACCTCACGGACAGCGTGTATATTCTTTATTACAAAAAGACACGTACACCCTACATCTATAGTTTATGTCATCAGCAGATGACGGGAAGATTGAAAATTAAGTAATCGGAAATTAATTTAAAACCTTCGATGAACATCTTATACTGTTCCTTGAGTTTCACAGAATAGCTGTTACATCCCATTTGCCTGTTTCAGTCTCTGCTATGCTCTGCTGGTAACTTATCCTTGTAGAATCATCTTTCAAAACAAAAGAGAAATACACTGAGATAGAGAAATGAAGGGCTTTTCTAAAATGAGGATTTTGCAAGATGCCATTAGAGAAACATAGGTGTACACTTCCATTGTGAAGTCACTGGTAAAAGATCCCGTTGACTTCTGGAAATCTGCAGGTCATTGCACTTAAATTCCTCTGCAGTAAAAGGTAATGTGGTGTCAAAACACTAATGCAGAAATCCTACATACAGAACCCATGGAGCGTACAGCTTTTGACCAGTGGTTTTAACCTCTTCTGTTTTAGTCTTTGCATCCCAATACTGGTCTGTTTAGAGTGTAGTGAATCAAGAACTGGATCTTGTTTTCTTAAATACAAAAGATATGGCAGATAGTTTTCCTTTCTGACCAGTACTGAACCTTTGAATCCTTTCCTTTTCCTTTTATGATCCTCGGGGTTTGAGACCAAAGACTGATTTCAAAGTCTTTCTCAGCAACTCTGCGTCTGAGATAGCTGTGTCTACTACTACATTTTCTTCCTTTGGTTTTGCGCTAACTTTTGGTTAATGCTGGCTTAAAATGAAAATGTAAGATACATAAGATTTTATTTTCACTCAGGAATATTATTAAAGTGAGTTACAGTGGCAGAGCTTATATTAAGCTTCTAAGTTCAGCCTTTCAGGACATTAGGAAACGTCTCTTCCTGCAGACTTTAGGACCTGAATGGAGATGAGCAATTAGTTTAGCAGGTCTCATTGAGAACTCTCCAGATGTAATTTGCAGTAGGCTTTGAAGGGTTTCTTCAAAGTTTTGGAGAATTTGAGTTCCTCTAAGCCACCCTGTTGGTGGGTAGTGGCATGCTCAATGGTCCTTCCTGAGCTTTTGAAATAATAGAATTCTCTCAGTTCTTTCTACCTTGTAAACCAATGTATAATTTACAGCACTCATTGATCAATAAAATTCCTCCAGAAGGAACTGAGGAAGATTATTCTTTCCTAAAATGTAAGCTCAGTCATCACCCACGGGAAAGTAATTATCAACGTTGTCCCCAACATTTTTAAGAAGCTCCTTTAAATATAAGAGTTATATGGAACTTAACTTGCATTATTTTTTAAAAAGATACATCTTGTTGTGTGAAGTCATTGCTATGTACTTATTTCATTCTTGCTATAATGCATATATGTGAGAGAAAAAGTACTTTACCAGCCCTACATCAATATGTGGTTTTGAGGACAGTATTGCTCTGTTTAGATTTTCTTCCAGAGGGCCACATTTGATCAAAAGTCAGAGCAGCTGACAGACCGTTATTCAAGCTGATTTTTAACATCAGTTCTACCGCAGTTCAAATGATAATACTGTCTCTGTATTTTATTTCCAACTTTTAACCAAAAGTACACTTGCAATCACTCAATTTGAGATAGTTAACCTGCCCGAGGCCCACACCCTTCACAGGAATGGGGTGAAAGAAAACAGAAATCTCAGATTGCACTTCTTATGTCAAACATGAAATTAAAAAAAAAGAGAGCCCATTGCTTCTGAAAACATGCTGTAGTTGGGTATTCTCAGGTGCAGTTGCTAGACTGGTCTCTTAGAAGTTCCTCAAATTTTATAGATGTCCGAGCTCAGAAAACAGCTTGTTTGTTGTTGTTCACAGCTATCAGGCTGTTTTAGATCCTGAAAAAAAAAAAAATCAACGCACTTTCTCTTTTGCAAAGAAGAGAACTAACACTTCTTTTGCAGACTGAGGAATGGAAAACACCTCATACTGCTTTATCAGCTGCTGTTTCCATGGCTGATAAACATCCACATGAGACTTTTCTCCTCTATCAAAAATGTCTCTGTCTGTCACCTGATAGTGAGCGAAAAGGTCCAACGCCCTCTGGCAGTCCTTTGAACCAACTGATGGCTTTTTCTTTTGTAATTAAGAAACCGTCTTTTTTTCTTTTTAAACTTCCTTCTCTAAAGCAAAACTGCCATGAAAACAAGGTTTGTATATTAAGAGGCAAGATGAGTTAGGTTATGCATTGTTTCATAAACAAAAGTTTCTAATTAGATATCAAGGTACATTAGTAGTTAATTGATTAGTATTTTCTACAGGCTATTTTATTGTATATCTTCTCTTGTAGCACTTCATAATAACCTAGATGCTGTTGTCACAGGGAAGCATAAAAAGCACAATAAGCTGAAAAGAAGCATGAAATTAAATGTGGAGCAGGGGAAGTAATGCATTTGGTTCAAGGCATCCAGTTTCTAGTAAGAGACTGGCAAATTGTGGGAGAAACCTCTATTTTGATTGGAAGGAAGTGGATTCATTTAGTAGGTTAAAACTAACAGCTTAGAAGCATAGAAATTATGGTGCTGTCTGTAGTAATCTAGCTTTTTCTCATAAATACACATATATAGAATACGGCCTTTTACTGATAAACAAATGGATATGTCTGAGGGGTTAAACTCTGTTTAGCTGAACTGTTCAGAGCATTTTCAAAAGACACTGAGAAATCACTGCAGAAACTGAGAAGTTCTCCGGTTTCTGCTATACTTAAATTGGTCCCACGTTCCCTGTATTATTGTCAAATCATCTGCCTTTCCCCCCATTATTAACTGCTCTTGCAAATGGACTTTTCATGCTGAAGGAGATTCATGGGGAAAAAAAAAACAAAACAGAAGAAAATATGACTCCCTGTGACTGTCTGCCCATTTCCAGCATTCCTGGCATACTTTTTGCTGCCTTTTCCCGTCTGATGAGAAAGATACTTTTGCTAATGACACAACACATGTTTGTCTAAACCCAGTTATTTTGACTCTTTTTTTAAAAAAGTCCTGGCTTAGGAGGATCCCAGAGAGACTCCTGTCAACCTGAGGAGCTCACTGGCGCTGAGGTGTCTGACTCACTGCGTCGGCCTTGTACTTTGTGTTCCTGGGATAAAGCAGTGTATAATTTGGATTTTGCTCCTGCCAGTATCTGTTTGTTTTGAGCGGGGCCACGTGAGTTTAGTAAAAAATAGAGCTGGTCAGTTTTGTGCCTTAAAGGACAAGGCTGGTTGTGTAGTAGTCAGTGTAACAAAAATAGTTGCATTTTTAGAATTATTAGGCAGTTAAACTGGTCAGAGCACTCAGAAGATTTGGGTGAGGAGGCTGGACAGAAAAGGGTGTTGTCAAGAACGAAAAGCTAACCACTGCTGGTAGAAAACAATGCTAGCTGTAGCTGTGAATTCACATTTTAAAATCTGTGTGTAACTAGACAAATTTTCCATTCACTTCTCTTGGCATGTTTTGACCTATTTCCTACCTGAATATTAGCATTCCAGCCTACTATAACTTTCTATTCCTAGAATGAAAGAAAGACAGTGCATTTACTTTGAAAATTAGTGTGATCTGCATCTATGTGCTAGTCATTGATAGTTCTTTCAATTTTTCTCTTTATTTTGCTTGCCATTTGCCAGATCATAGAGCAGTGGAAAGGTCTGCTACCATGCAAACAGGACCCTTGGGGAGCAAAATATTTAGAAGAGCTGAGGATTTGTTTGAGTGGCTGGAAGAAATAGAAATGAGGAAAATCATATTTCTCTTTCTGAGCAGGCCCCGAGAAACATGATAGTCAATTGCTGTAATTCATTGTGGTCTAGCAAGTTGTTGCAAGTTTCTGAGTAGCCTGTTCATACGTAATTCTGAGTAAAACAGTTTTATTGGCAAGTGATAATGCCGTGAAACTAATTCATTTCAAAGTTGGATTTCCTTTTATCCCCTTTTTTTCTTCATCCAATGATATTTGCTGTTTATCTTAATGCAGATCCAGTCAATGGGTTAACCTGTCTGGCAGCATGCACAACTAAAAGTTGGGTGTCAGGTGCTGCAGCTAGCATTCCAAGTAGATGGACTGATATATTGAAAAGTTGTCCTTCTGGTATGGAAAACCTACTTTAAATTCTGTAAAGCATATTGAAATAACAACAACAAAAAATTTTAGAGGTCTTCTTATTTGAAAAGAGCCCAGATTGGAAAGAACTGTCATGAAAGATCCATGTTCACAGATGCTAACATCTGTCAGAATGTTTTTTGTGGCTGACTTAAATTTGTTTACAGCATTCCATTTGTTTTTTGTGTTTTTTTTCAACAAAACATTTGAAATTGAATGGTCATAAATGCAAGTTTTTAAAAATTACATTATGTTTCTGGATGCGATTTTTCAAGTGGAAAATAAACAGGAAATAAGTAACTGAAATGCAGTAGGCAGTACTCCATAAACTAAAAGGTTTCTCTGATTTCCCCTTTTCAAATCCTTCTCTGTGAAGATATGTGCTCTTAATATTCTTGCAAAGTAGTCTAATTGCTCCTTGACAGACTTGTAATAGTTCTCCTAATAGCTGTGGTTCAACTACTAGTTACTAGTAGTAACTAGTTTCTACTTTGAACTCTCTTTTTTTTCCCC